CCCCAAAACCCCAAAACCCCAAAACCCCAAAACCCCTAATATATTTTCTATATTGAAATCATTGACTTAGATCTTAGAGACTGCAAATAATTCCGGGAAAGAACTCTTGACGAGTTGGTAGGAAGTCTTGATTCCATATTTGAGAGGAATACCTGTCTTCTCAATAGCATCAGGTAGGAAGTTACCCTCTTCATCAATGAACTGGTAGTCCATAAATTTCTGATGCCAGAGGATCATCTTTTCGGTACTTTTCATTGGTACACCAAGAAGATCACCGATGTTCTTGAGGATACAGAGCCCATAAGGGATATCTTCGTAGAAGAATCTTCCCTTTGTGTTCAAAACCACTGATTTGCCATCTGGATGAGGAAGGGTAGGGAAAACGTTCTTGGAGTAACCGTCATTAGTGTTGAAGATAGTCTTGAGAGAAGAGAAATCTGTAATAGATTCTTTATAGTTATAGCTAATTCTATCTTTTATAGGATGCAGAGCTGACATATCTACTTGTGGCCATTTTGAGACGATTGCTGTTTTGATAGCCTGGATTTCATCATCTAGAGCTTGGATTGCATCAGCAGATGCATCGTCAAGCTCTGCATAGAGTTTAGGAAGCTTCTTTGGATCAAAGCCTGTCTTGCCATCCCAATCTTTAAAGTATCCATAAACTCTTCCAGGATGAATAATTTGATTTGATGGCGTAAGAGTGAGGCAGAGGAAGTTTGGAATGGGAACAGTTGGAGTAGAATATAATAAACTTATAATGTTGCATACTTTTTCTGATCTTTCTTGTGGATATGTTGCACAGCACAAGTAACTCTTTGGACCATAGATTTCTGCACTTTTACCATACTCTGTTGCTTTACAAAGGAATGGTACAAATTGCATTCCGAAAATTGTCAAATCCAAATCTTCTACCTTTGTGCCTAGGTAATGGAATGCTTGCAAATCAAAAGCACCTTGACCAAAGATAGATCCAACGATAGTATCTTGGTCCAAATAGTCTTTAATGCTTTCCAAAATTGGGGCTGCAACATGAAGTGGGGAGCAAATTATCACAATTTTTGAGCCTGGAATGACGTCTGCTGGATCATCTGAAACTGCTTGTATCTCAGCTTTGAGGTCACCTTTGTACTTCCAGATACATCTATCAGTAGTTCCAACAAACTTGTTTGAAAACTCTTTAGGTCTTCTACAAAGAACATTAATCTTGGCATTTGGGCAGTGATGGCCAATGCTGGCTATTGATCCATGTGCCAAATTGCTTCCTGAGCAGATGGTAATTTGGTAGTCTACACGCTCCATTTTTAAATTTATTAATTTTCGTCAGCTATTTGATTTCTAATGGGGTTTTGGGGTTTTGGGGTTTTGGGGTTTTGGGG